AGCCATCTTAAGTGACAGTCGCCATTTTCCCACCCAAGGGCCTTTCCAGAGAAACCTCACCACTCTCTCATAGCAACCCCACCCTTCACTGTCCACATTAGAACCCACTGCCTCTAATCCCTGAGCACAACCCCAAGTCTGTGTTGCCTCTCTCTATGGAGAGATGGCCTTCATTTGTCAGCTCTGACAAATAAACTCTCCTGTGTATCTCTGCCTGGTCTCCGTCTTTCATTTCTTACTAGTCCGGCTCCTGGACCCTCACTTTCCTTTCATTGTTGCCAAATCCAGGATCAGGTTCCAAGGTGTGCTCGCTCCCATCTTTTAGGGTCACAGAGCATCGCCAGGCCCGATCCAAACTCCATTGTGAAACCAGGCCCTCCATTCTGCCCAATGCCCTCTCTACACCCACCACTTGACATTTCAGGTAAGACTCCTGTCTTTGGTCGACTTAAACAACTTAAGGGTCCCAGAAAGTGACTATCAATTGTCCAGCACTCCCAGGGTTACCATGTGGTTTGGAGGACACCCAGCCATGATTTTCACAGCTATGGCTGATCCCTATTCTTGACCAGGTCTATAGGTGTTTTTTACTCCTGGGTTTTGAGAAAAACCACCAAGGGTGGTTGGGAGTGGTCCTGATGAGACCTCTTGGCCTTGGGTTACATCTCAACAAGGTCGGCTCCTCATCCATTCCCTCCCACGTCTCTCAGGCTGCCTCCTGGCTATCCTAGGGACTCTCTCTCCCCAGACTTAAGCTCCCCAAAACTTATTAAGTTATGCAATCAGATCTGACCTCAATATCCTTTGGATAATGACTCTAAATGGCCATTTAATGGTACTCTAGATCCCAATATTATCCAGGATCTTTTCAATTATTGTGAGTGTTCAGGAAATTGGAAAGAGATGTCATACATTCAGGCTTTCTCCTCTCTCTAAGTCCTCTCTCTGCAACTCTTGATCTCCTGCACAAGTTCTCTTAGCTCTCACCTCCTCTCTCTGTCTAATGAAGTCTCTATAGCAACTGTACCTTGGCCCCTTGTCCCTTCTCTCCTCCTGCCACATGCTCATGGGTTACCACTGCCCAACCCACATCTCTGTGTCCCCTATGCAAGGTGGCTGGAGTAGATGGTGTAATCCAGGTTCATATGTCTTTCTCTTTGTCAGATCTTTCACAGATAGAAAACCAGCTTGGGTCCTATCTTGTCTAACACCCTCCTGCCTGAGGAGTGCAGGCGAGTTTGGGAGAAATCATGGTGATGAAGTAAAACCCTTCACCAGTTTTAAATCACCCGACCAAGACTTTATTACAGTACACTAAT